GTTCTACAAAAGCGTGGTGAAAAAACAAACGAAGAGATCTCCTAGAAAGCAGAAGGAATGATTTGAAAAAATGTAACATTGATTTATACGTCAGTCCGCCTCGGCTATAGCGCATATTGTACAATTTCTAACACCCAAAATGATTTTAATCAAAAAAAAATTTCTCAAATATCGTCAAAATATCATGGCCCTGTCCAATACAGTTTTTAGTCTCTTCAATTATGATTTCTTTTGGTATTAATCCAATCATAAGCCGCAGATTGAAAGTTTGACAAACTTTGAATCAGTGATTTTGCTAGCTGATGACACTCATGCAAAAACCATATGAAAACAAAATCTTACAACTTACAACGTAGTCTTACAAGGTAGTCTCCGAAATATTCGATCCAAAATGCCAGCGGTTGCACAAAACGTTGAAATGATTTTCAATTGAGAGCAGCCGACTTCAATATTTTTGGCTTAATTGAGTTCTTCGCCAGTTTCTTAGCTGCCAAATGATTCAAATGTGCAATTTGCTAAAAAATAGTCAATTAGCGTGATAATAATGCTTTGATGGTAAATAATTAATTAAAATTCAGTCCCATTAGAATAATTTGAATAGCTTTTCAGCTAACCCTCATTCCAAAAGAGTGCTTTTCGTAGACCTAATTGTACTCAATTCAGATGTAAATTTATGAGCTCGGTCAGTTTTGAGTTCTGGATGTCTAGTCAATTACCATGATTGCGCCTTACATTAATTCAATTGCAAGTCTTCATGTTGTGAGTTACCATTTCCAATTCGCTTGTCTTGATGATTGCAATTTGATTAAATTTCGGCTCTCATCAACCGAACATTAAATTACAAATTGTCATGGCCTTTCAATTATTTAGGAGCATCTATCTACTTTTTGCTAATATACAGGAGCAGTCATCAAAGTAATATCCAAAAATAACTAAATTACAACCAAATTGAAACTGCAATATTTGTCAAAGTGCATTTAAAGCAATAACAGATAAAGCTACCTGAACTCATTAAAAATTCCGTGTAGTAATCATAAAAAAAGTGTTTTTAGTTGGTCGTTAAGTCATATATTTAGGGGATGTAGGAATTTAGCGGAGGGGTGACAATTTTTTTTGAAAGTTTTTGGGGCTTTTTTAAAGGTCCAACAAATTGATTTTCCATGCTGTCCTTAAAAACACTATGTAGCCATAATTTCAGCAATATCAAAAAACGCTGCAATATCAATTTTTATAAGCCTTTTAGGAGGTCAAAAGGTAAAACTTGTGGCGCCCTCCTCAAAAATAGCAGATTTTGGTGGTCGACCCGACCCTCCTTTAGAAACTAATTGAATAAACATATTTTTGGTGTTTCTGAGCGAATACAAAACGAATACTAGCATAGCGCAGCCAGCAAAAATGAAAATTTCTCAATGATTGTTTCAGCAAAAAGTGAACATGTGATTATTTAAGGAATAATTGAAAAGAAAAACGGCAATGGGTAAATCCAATGCGCATCAAATTAGGAGAAATAGTTACTTGATTTAAAAAAAACTTTGAAAAAAAGCCTGAAATGCAGACGGCCGATGACCCAAGGAGGCATCCGATAGACCTAAGAAACAAAAGCCTGAAATACAGACGGCCGATGACCCGAGGAGGCAGCAAAAAGACCCAAAAAACTGGCCTCAAAATAAAGCAGTGTTTCTTGCAAATATAGCAGGTCTTGCAATCTAACAACAGCAGGTCTTGCAAACTACCAACATGGAAACTAGCATGTTGACCAACGTTTCATTGGTAAAAAAAATCAATTAAGGATATCACGCTGCTGCGCAAGTAGCACAAAAACTTCAAAACCCACATTAATGAAATACAAAAAAAAACATTTTTTGTTTTGTTCTTCAGTATACAGAAAAATCGATAATACAATTGAGTTTAGAAAAGGTAATTGCTCTCTACTCAAACTGAACCTCAGTCTTCGGACATCAAAGTCTTCAAGTCGACTGCCGTACGCAGCTGTGCCACTGACGCTTACAGAAACAAATTACCAGCCTATGATTAACTGCAGAATACATGCTATTAAGCTACCATAACTGAGCAAAAAAAAATGAGCATTTTTATTTGCGACTGGGGTTACAAAAAAGTGAACTTTGTAATAAAATACAATGCGCGCAAGCCAGGCTGGCCACTATTTTCTCAAAAATATATAGACCTCAAGTGACTATGACAATTTTCGAAAATTTTTGACGACCTTTTTTTAGGTCGACCAAATTAATTTTTCAAGCTCTGCCAAAGCACTAAAAAGTCCCTGTTTTGGCCAAAATTTCTGCGCCGCATGCATAATTTTGAATAAAAAATTGCGTTTTTTTTCGGCGCGCGCTTTTTAAAAATATTAGGGTCCGTCACCAAAAACGGATATCTCAAAACAGTGCAAAGAGGGGAACATTTTAGCTCCACACCAAGGTGCTTTTTCGCCACTCACTTTCAAAATAACAATTTTGACTAATTTAGTATTTCATTTTAAAAATCCAATGAAATCAAATCAATACAAGGATAGCCGGTTACTGTGCAAGTAACACAGAATGTTCCGACTACAGTCTTAAAAATATACAAAAGTTTTTTCAAACTATTGTCGTTTTTTTTTCGGCGTGGTGGATTAGGTAAATTAGATACAAAAAACTGGGGTGCAAAAAACTGGGAATTAGTTATACTCGACAGCCATACTAAAATAAGCAAAATGAAAAAAAATTTTGTAGAAAAATTACTAGAAAAACGAAAATTTTTTTGCAAAAAGTCGTTAACATACAAAAAAGTAAACTAATTTTAGCCGAGTAAAACTAACTTTTTACGTTTTAAATTAAGCTATTAAAAGCTTTTAAGCCATAGTAAAACTGCTCGCTCGCTTTATTCGCTCGAAATAAGACGAAAAATCAAAAACTTCAAACCGGTTTTTCTCGACACAGGGAAAACTTAATCAAAAATTTTAAAAGTTGTTCGAGTCACAATGTAAGGGCTTTAATATGATATAAAACTCAACCCAGTCCGATTATTATTTGTGGTACCTGATTTTGCGTGCAAAACAGAACGAAAAATAAAAAAACTAAAACACACCTGAATACAAAGTTCCTCTCCATTTTTCAATGGTCGGAACAAAAAGATACTCGAATTTTGAACAGTGTTGCACACCCTGGGAGCCAATATTGCATGGAAACTTATTTCACATCCAATTCAGAAAATTCAAACAAGCTTCAAGGAAGTAAAATCGGTTTCGATATATAATCACAAAACAGCAGGCAAAACACCTGTATAAATTAGCAATTGGAAATTAAATGCGATGCACCGAGCTTTTTTCAAATCTTAGCTTTGATATAGGTAGAGGGCTCTGAAACTTATAATAAGTAATGCCAGCATTACTTATAATAAGTTATGCTGAAATCAATAAAAATTCTGAAAAAAAAACAACTATATTATTAATGATTAATTCATACTTTCAAGGGGAAGATAAGGTCTTTTAAGTCGGTGAGTTTTCAAATTTTGTTCACTATTTTCAGAGATCGAACTAATAGATTTTCTCTGCTGTGCCAGGGTGCATTATATTTTGCATTAATTATATTTTGCATTAAAATCTGCGCAGCAGCAAATTGAAGAAAAATAGCTTCAGTAAAAAAAATGCCATAGTTTGCGCTATTTTCATATTGTTGCTCATATCTTGAACTCTTTTTTGAAAAGATATCGGTAGTCCACATGTTCTGAGTTACTTGCGAAGCAACCGGCAATGCCTACGCGAAAATCATAAATTCTTTTTGAACAAAAGGTCTATTGTGTAATATTATCAACTGAAATATTGACGTTATTATCAACTGAAGTATTGAAGTAAAGTAACTGAAGTATTGACGTTACTTTACGTAACTTAGATTTGTAAAATTGTACCTGCCTCTGCAAGAATTCTGAAGACAGAGGAACTACTCCACAAACAAAACCGAAGTATCAAATAAATTTAAAGCAATCATTATGGAAACACCGGTACTCGAATAATGCCTTCCGCTTAGCTACAAGTTTTAGCGTCTATGCCAATTTGCTTTTCATATGTTCAGAACTAGCTGCATTAACAATCGCGCATCGTTGGCTTAGCTTTTTTGAAAAGTCGCTTCGTATTATAACATGCTCCGCTAGTGTGATCACTGTTAGAAGCTCTATTTACTTTTTTATTTTACCAACTTCTTTTCAAAAAGGCAAGAGAATGAAGCCTACGGTTGGTTTCTTTTTACTTTTTTTACTCAATTTCAGGAATCATAAAAAAAAACTAGCACATTGGTTAGTCTGTATTCATTCTAAAGCCTTCCGACATCATATCAAACCAGTCTTTCATTATTTTCGTTATTCATATCTATTTACGACGTGAACGGGGGAATCTAGTTTTTCAAATGATTAACCTTATTCAGGCAGTTTCTGCCTATATTTGAACCATAATTTCAATCCGTCTTAGATTCAGAAAATAACAAAAAAAGAAAATTCAAAGCGATAACACTGAACTTCTGATGCAACTAAATCGCAAGTAAAATATCATTTTAAAACTTACAAGTATTAGATAATAAAGACGGCTTGGGCATGTCTTGCCGCCTCCTTTCCGTGCTCACCAGAAACTCCGAGTGCCTAAGTGCTACACATTTATGTTAGTCTTAATCCCGATGTCAAGTCAATAGGGGATGCTTCTTTTTTACATAAGCTCCTCGAAATTACAAATGAGACTCAAACTAACATTTACATGTAATCATGGCTGCGAAAATGAACTCTAAATTAACAGCGCATAAAGACTTCGTAAAAAAGCAAATATAATTTAAATGGTGTAAACAATAGAAAAAAAAGGATTCATTCCGATCACATTGACAAGGAATTGATGGGATAAGATTCGAGGTTAATTTTTATCTGCCAAAAAACCATTAGTCTAAGACGAATAAATAGCCAATCTACTATGATTGACATTCTTTTCACTGAAGATGTCACAGTAGTCCTAGACAAAAAAAAAGTTCATTGCAAAAATCAATTAATTTCCCATTTCAGCTGACAGCATTCCATGCGAAGTGATGTTAGAGTTTTTTAAGTTTATTGTCTTTAACCTTCGCTGAAGTAGTAAGAAGCGAGTCAATGCATGATGCCAGGCAAGAGTAGATGACAGACCCTATACACAGCATAGAGATCCACACAAACATGCTCGGCAAAATCGCAACGCTGAAAATGTCCCCATGTTTTACAGCAGTGGCAAACTCTACAAGCACAACAGCCAGATACGCCCAGAATTGCATTGGTAGGAGTTTTGCCGACGCTAAAGTTCCTCTGAGATACATTCTGTAGTTAGTGATGACTCCGTATGACATGAAGGCGTGAATGAGTAGTCTGATCACGTTCAGAGGGTGGTTTTTGTGCACGCCGAATACTCTTTTCAGCGTGAAAGAGTTGAGCTCTGCAGAGTTGCAGAAGAACAAGAGAACGAACACCCAGAGACCCTATGAAGCAAAGGGGCTTAGGAAATTAGACGAAAAGCAAATTATACGTGGCAAAAAAATAAGACGTCGATGTTAAACTACAAATATGGGAAAATAGACGTAATTGTTTTGTTAACGTGCGTGAAAGTTTGGGGGGCTATTCTCATGCGCGAAGGACCGAATGCGCGAAAAAACTTGCGTGCGAAAAACCGAAAACAAAATTGGCCGGAAGTCAATTTTTAAAAAGAAGCAGTTGCCTTTCAATTAAAAAGAAGTAAACGATGAAACAGTTTGCTTCTTTCATAACGAAACCCTTGAAATGTAAAACTTGTCCCAATTTTGCAGCGGTCAATGACAATATTAAAGTTTTGCATATTTCTGCCGTTCTTATATTCGGCCAATCTCAATACCCCAGTCCCTGGAAATGTTTACTTTCTTTCCAAGTTTTAGATTACTGAAATCTGATTGGCTGATTCATATTTTCGCGCACTCTGACCTTCGCGCATGAGGGATTCCACCGAAATTTTAATTACTAACTGTAATTAACTTCCGCTGACAACTACACTTAACTTTATTTCGAGCTTTCTAAAATGCAAATAATTTGGGGTTTAGGAGCTTAGACGATCAGAAAATAATGGAATTTAGACAATAACTTGCCTGCAAATTGCGTGAATTTTGTTTACAGACTTAACTTTTGACTGAGTAAATACTAGTTATCCGTAAATTCTGTTTCTTAACGGTCGTGTTATTCGCTTGTCGTCTAATTTCCTAGGCCCCGTATAATTCATTTATTTCGAAAATGTTTTATAATATTCGGATCAACATTTTATAAACCATTTATAATATTTTGACATGCATTGGGATTATATACTCTTTTTCTCAATGTGAACAGCAATACTTTTAGTTAGTTAGCCCTTTGCTTTTTGTGCAAAATGGTAGTTTTGCAAAAAAATCTTCTTAATTCCGTTCTTATCAAAGACGTCTAATTTGCTTTCCGTCTACCAGGAAGCAACATTGGAGTCACTTTTTAAACCATTTGTTAATAGAAAATAATCAGAAACCAATTATTACCTCGAGTAAATTGCTGTAAACTAGCACAGAAAATCTAGATAACAGTTACCAGGGGCGGACCTAGGGAGAGGGATATATTTTCAAAGATCCTCAGAGAATTTATTCAACTTTTTCAAATATAAACCGTATATTAAGTCAACTGTATTGATTTTCCTAGCTTTCCAGGCACATTATTGAACTTTTGTCATAAACTTGAAAATTAGCAAAAAATAATCTGCCACTTATAATTACATATTATCACATTTAAGTACAAGGCTGATTTAAATAATCCGAATAAGACGAACAAAATTTGAAACTTCAAACGTGTTGTTCTCGAATTGGGTTAAAATTAGACAAAAAGTGAAGAGAAAAAAGTTGCTCAGACATCTAACAGAACTAATTTGGCGTTTTTGTTTTACGAAACTCGGAACCAAAATTTTACCCCAAAAATGGGCCATTTTAGCTTTTTAGTTAATCAAAAATTACGCTGAAACTCCCAAGTTATTTTATTCAAAAACTATATCAAAAAAAGTCTCTTACATAGCCCAACTATGTTCTAGAAAGGCAAGATTTCCATAAAATTGCGTAAAAGGTTAACAATTTGATTTTTAAAATAGATTTTCACTTTTATGAAAAAAAAATGACAATTTTTGGCAATCAGTGAAAAATATATTCTTTTATACAGATTTTTGGAGAGTAAATCCTTTTAAAAAAAAGTGTTGGGTTGCGCAAGTGGATTCTTCTGATATAATTTTTTCAAAAAAATTCATTTGGCAGTTTCAGCATTATTTTTTATTAATTAAAAAAGCCAAAATGACCCCCATTTTGGGGCAAAATTTTGGTTCCGAATTTTAGCAAAATAAAAAGCACCAACTTAGAAATTGTAAGTTTTGTTCGTTTTGTCCGAATGATTTATATCAGCACAGTATGAATGTACTCTTTTGTCATTAGAGCACTTTAAGACTTCCTTAAAAAAATCATTACGATCTATAAAAGAGTCTGAACTCCTTTTATCAGAAGAAAGATTACAAACTATTCATTACTGCTACTCTGATTAGAAACTACTGATTTTTCCGCTTTTTTGGTTCGAACATTATCAAAGACTGTTAGGGAATTATGTCCAAGGGTGGTTTCATATTCAAACCTCGTGGCATACATTCAAATCGGTGTTACAAAAATTGTACATATAAATCAAGAAGTTGGTTTAATGTTTACGAATTTAGAATTTATTTATTTATAAGCACTTAATTAATGTGTGCGAATTTAATATTTAGTTTCAATAAGCGCTTTAATTCGGACTCCAAAAATATGTTTCTCTAAGTTCTCTCAATATCGAGAAACTTTGCCAACAGCCAGTTGGAAAAGTATCAATGAACACTCCAGATGTTTCCAGGTTAACAATGAACTCCAGATAAATTAATTAAATGAATGGATAAAAATCTGTATGTCTATCAAAATCAAACCAAATCTATCAATTTTTAGGACGAACACTTTACCTGAGAGATAGCTTTCCTCCATTGAAATTCGACTAGCTTTGGCTTCTGTTGCTGATGGTGATTATTACCTCGTGGTAACTCCACTGTCCTTTCCTCTCCTTGCCAGTACTGGTACCACTGGAGTGTGGGTATTTTGAATGAGGCAAGTATACCCATTCCCAGAAAGATTCCCGAAGCATTGCAAGCGAGAACGTCGAAAATGAGAATGTCCCACCAGCACTCCACGAAATTAGGCAGCACTCCGCAGTACAACAACTCTATTCACAAAAACAAGGAACAAAATTAGTAAAAGACGTTATTATCAATTAACATTTATTCAGAGGAAAAGGAACAAAATAAGTGCTGATCAGCTGAACTGTTTTTTTAGCTGGGCTCAGAATTGTTGCCTGACCCACAGGCAACAAACAAGGATCATAATGCCCCGAAATATAGCTCCATACAATATAGCCTATTCCCTTCTATGTTGCATTTTGTACTCATAAGACCTTATCCTATCATGTATCACTCATCATTGGATTTCAAATAAACTCTGCGGTTTCCCCTATGTTAAATAAACTAGCTTTTTCTTGGCTATAGGAAGTTTGATGTATCAGTAATAAAAAGTCAAAAAACAAACCGCCAACACTTAAGCGTAAAAAAACAACAACTCAAAATAATTCTTAACTCATTTCGTTCATTAAGATTTAACTAAGTATATAATTACATCAAGAACTGAAGTGGATAACAACAATCAGCATAAACTCGTCTCATATCATTAGCAGCCCATTCTTTAAGCCGGGTATTTTAAAATTTATAAAGCTCACAATAAAAAAAAACAATGATCTACCTTTAGACCAAAAGAGTTTCTTCAGCTCCAATAATTTAACTAGGACTTTTGAGTTCCTGAAAATTTCATTCGAGACAGAACCATTAAAATATACAGGAAGGTATTTGAGATTTGCTTTCGTTTGAATTAGCAACCTAATTGACCGCAATCATGGACTATTTTGATTTTTAATTTGCAAAAGGCAGCCCATGAGCACCGCAGAAAATAGAAGGATCCTAAATAAGATGGAAAAGGATGAATGAATGGCATTTTTTAGATAAAACTAGCCCAGTTTGAGAAAACTGGATCAATAGACAAATTTTGTATTCAGCAAAAACATATCATCACAGCCAACAGAAATGTATTTTTGAGCATTTTTCATCTTTCGGAGAAAAAACATTGAAGCCGCATCCCTTTGATTCCATAATGAAGGGGGGAATAGGGCTTCCCGATTCGGGACGAGACTTTTTATGTAGTTAGATCCAAAATAAAGGCAAAGCTCGTCAACTTTCGCTATTTTTTCCGACTCTTTTATGGTGCGATCGCAAACTATTTGAATTTCCTCCACTATTTTCAGGTCTACTATCAGGGACTAGTATTTTTAGGGCTTCTAAGAAACGGTGGTAAATTTTTTCTGTTTTATTTGGCAGGAACGCATATATGCAAGCAGGGGCTATTCCTGAAAGACTAACGTGTATGGAGTAAAGTTGATAAAACATTTTCGGGGTGACTTTAAAAGTTCCATCAGCCAACCAAAAGTTGGATGTTTCAAGCACACGTAGCATTTCAGGGTCACCGAATAAAATAATCCTCTCGTGATCATTTTGCCCACTGTCAAATCTTATAAAATTTTTGAAAAGTTCGGGTATTTCGAAACTTCTGTTTGCTGGGGAGACTGGTAAGACTTCTTCTCGTTGCTTGCGCGCTCGTTGTGCGGTGCGAACTAAATTTTCTTTGGATGGTAGGGCTAGTTGAGTGGCAATGTTGTCTGTAATTGGCTGAATGGCGGTTGCGACGGTTGGGGTGTTACTATCGCTTAGCTCCTTGATGTTTTTCAAAACTAGTCGAGCATCAGGTTTGCCCGTGGAAATATCGTGATTATGTTGACCCCTCGTTTCAATAAAATTTTCTCCTTCCGTAATTGCTGTTGCGCGGCATTTATGGGTTTGGTACTTTGAGCAGTTCCAATTTGTTGTTGTTTTGTTTTTTCGTTTAAGGTAATACTCGTGGCCTGATACCACTAGCATTTGTTTATCTTTCGAAGATAAAGTAAAATGGAATGACGCTTCAAACATTATATCTGATCTGATAGAGTGGTATAACAATGGTTAAAGAAATAGGCAGTATGATTTTTTATAAAACTCACAAACGTCTTTTGTTGCCTTCAATTAGCACCATGTAGGTTATCTCTGTTTTAAACGCGTGAGTGAGGGATTATTTCTCTAACTAATCGAAATGCAATTACTTTTGAGATGCTAGAGGCATCAAGTGAATTAAGACTAGCTTTTCAGGCCTCAATTAGTAAGCTTAATTGGACTACTCCTGTACTTATAAAAAGGACTTAATTTGGAACAAATTATCGTCATTAAAAGGGGGTTAAATTGTTGTGGGGTTATCATGTTACGGGGTTATGATATAGGGGGTGTAAACAGAGGGGGTTAAATATCGTAGGGTTAAAGAGTGGGACACCGTAATTTTTACAAGCCGCTGGTAACTCAACACACTTCAAAACTAAAAACTCGCGTTTTTTGCTATATTTGCTCTTTCGTTATTGGAGAGCGCAGTTTACCTAGTTTTCGGCAAACGAATTTTAAAATAATATCAAAATTCAAACCACATTAAATGTCAAACCTCAAAAGCTATGCGACTCAGCTAACATTTGTCTTCTTTACGCCACAGCGCTTAGTTTAAGTTTTCATCGCTCATTAACAAAGCCCGGGACCAATATTTCAATCATTATTTTTTCAAACCAATATGAGCTTCATTTTGCGGGGAAAGTGCTCATTTTCATTATTTGCGGTTTGTATGGTAGACTAGTGAAGAGAGGAATCATGAAAACTTTCAAGGCTCATTAATTTGGGCGAAATCATTCGCCACCTGATATAAGAGATTTGGACCCAGGTTCAATTTGCGTTTCTGAGTAGCATTAACTTTGCTCAGTATGGATTTAAAATTTCAGCTAAAAATTCGGAAAAAGACTTGCACTTCAAGATGAAAATCTTGCTCAAAATTGATACACTAGGGGGAAATGGCCTTGGGATAGAAGACACTACAATTTCAGTTCAAGTTAATTGAACGGCAAAAAAATGCAGCAATTCTTTTTTCATGCTGTCCGTTGCATGATTGCCCTTCACTATATGCGAAACAAATTTAATTACCGGAACTGATAGCGACACTACTAGTTTAGTAATGCATCATTCAGTGTTTTCAATCGGCAAACACAAAAAGAATCCGAGCTGAAAAAAATCATCACATGGAAATGTAAGCATAGGGGTAAAGCAGACCTCCGCGCCATTTGCGATACCGCATAAATATATTATCGCAAGGCAGCGGACAAAAAATGAAATGAAAGCCATTAAATCGAAAAAACTTTTTTTTATATGTAAGTGCTTTGAAAAATTCTAAAAGACAAAAGAAACTTCACATCTGGCAAACTAAAAGAAATTGAGCAGTCTTATTTGGACGCAAGATTTGCAACTCCTGAGAGTACTAGGACAGCTTCCAATTAGAGAGTTAGGAAATCAAATTTCAAAAAATAAAATTAAACTTTCACATACGGATAACTGCAAAGATTGGAGCATCCATATTTGGAGGAAAAATTCGCAACCGCTGCGAATACTCGGACAGCCCCCAATGACAGAGTTTGGAATTTCAAATTTTTGAAAAAAAAATCAAACTTGAAATTTTTTGAAAAAATCACTTAAAACTTCGTATCTTGAAAATTACTAGGATTTAAGCAAACATATTTGGAGGTGAAATATAAAACCCCTGAAAGTACCCTGACAGAGCCTCACTATGGAGATAGAAACCTCAAAACTTGTGAAATTTTTTTTATCTAAGTTCTTCGTACAATTTAAAAAAAAGTCGTAACAAACGTCACGTCTCGGAAACTAAGCGAATTTGAGCAGCCGCAAAATTTGCAACTTGAAACTCCTGAGAGTACCTCACAGTACACAACTACAAGGTCGGGAGTTTCAAATCTAAATTTTTTAAATCTAGTTTTTCTGAAAAATTAGAAATAAATCATAAATTAAAAGGATTTGGGCATTCATAATAGGAACTCCTGAAGAAATCCTGACAGCATCCCACTATTGGGTTCCGTTTTTCAAACTTGGTAAAAGAAACAACTGAATTCAAACTGGAAAATCGACAAAAGCTTCTTAACCATGCAAAATACGATATAGCTTAAACGTGAAAAAGTTCTCTCGAAAACCTGCAATAATAATAGGTTGAAAATGCTTAAATACGGCGAGATAGCTTCATTAAACGCGATAACCTTCAAAGATTCAACAAGAATAATATACGTGAAAACAGTTTATTTAGAAAACAAATGGAAAAAAAAACAACGAAAAGAATGCAACAGTAAAAATAGACAGGCGCATCCAACGCTTTTCATTTCAAAAATTGAACAATAAAAATTGTATTGTTTCTTATTTAAAATTAGGAAAATCACTATAAATACTCAGTTTCAGATCTTGGTAATTTGAACTCAGAAAAAAACTCTAATATGATTGAGAGCATACAACTAAACTTTCCATATTTAAATTTCTTTGGTAAAACAACAGACTTTTTTCTTAGTTTAACTGTTAGCTTAATGAAAAAATATCAATATCATTAGAAAAGTCAATTTCAAAAATTTGAACAAAATGAGCAATGAAATTGGGGTGTAGGTTAGATCTGCAACTGCTGGTAGTAACCTGAATTCACACCATCAATGCGTCGACAAATTCAAATTTTGGAATAAAAATTAAGTTTAAAAGTGAAAAAAATTAAGTTTTTTTTTTGAAAAATCATGAAAAATGAAACATAAGTCATATCTAGAAAAATGAAATGGATTGAGCAGTCAAATTCAAAATCCATATATCAACTTTCTGAGAGTACCGCGACAGCACCTCATCATACCGTTAAGAAGATCAAACTTTCTTAAGTCTTCTTCAGATCAAAATATTTTAAAAATTTTTTGAGCATTATTGAAAAAACATCATGTCTCGGAAAATAAATTTCAGTAGGACTTTTGAAAGGGAAAATTGCAACCCCTGAGACTACCCAGGCAGTCCCCAGCTATCGTCTTCTGAATTCCATTTTTTGCAAAATTTTTTTATCTGTTTTGAAAACTTTTGAGCAAGTCATAAAAAAACATCATATTTCGGAAACTAGAAGCAATAGAGTAGTCACATCTAAACGCAAGATCTAAAATCCCTAAGAATACCCTACCGGTATCCAAAAATAGGGTTGGAAAAACAAAAAATTTTGAAAACTTTTTCATAAATCCAATTTTCCTGAAAATAAAAACAAAATCATCAAAATGTCGTCTCGAAAACTAAAAGGATTCGAGCAGTCTTAGTTGAAGGCAAGATTCGCAATCCCTGAGAAAACCCTGATTGTGCCTCACTATAGAGGTAGAAAATTAAAATTTCAAGTTTATACTTAAGTTCTTTAAAAAAAATTTGAAAACATTATTGAAAAACATCACATCTCGGAAATTAAAAGCCCGATTGACAACGCCCGATATTAGCCTGTCAGCACCCAAAATCAGTTTTGAGAATTTCAAATTTCGTGAATTTATTAATATCTAAGCTCTTGGAAAAATTTTAAAATTACAAGAAAAATTGACATCTCAGAAACTAAAAGCCATTGAGCAGTTGCAAGTGGACGCAAAATTTGCAGCTCTTGAGAGTTATCTCACAGTAACTAATAACAGCGTTGGAAATTTCGTTATACCTTATACTTCTAAAACTAAAAGGATTTCAGCAGTCAAATTCGGAGGCAAAATTCGCATCCCCTGGAAGTACCCTGACAGAGCCTCACTGTACAGACGAGAACTTCAAATTTGGTGAAACTATTTCTGTCTAAGTTCTTTGAACATTTTTTAAAAATGACCTAACAAGCGTCACATCCCGGAAACTAAGAGCATCTGAGAAGTCGCATCTGGACGCAAAATTGCAACTTAGAAGTCCTGCGAGTACCCTGACAGAAACCACCTAGAAAGTTGAGAATTTCAAATCTTTTCAATTTTTAAAAAAAAACAAGTTTTCTGAAAAGTTAAAAAAGAAATCATAAAATACGTCAAATCTCAAAAAACTACAACAAATTGAGCAGTCAAACTTGAAAGCAAAAATCGTAATACTCAGCAATGACAGCACCTAACTACAGGGTTGGGAATTACAAATTTTGTGAATTAATTTTAAATTTGATTTTTCTGAAAAAATTCTGAAAAATCACAAAAAGCGTTGCATCTCGTTAACTAAAACGACTTGGGCGTTCATAATTGACAGCATCCCACTATTTAGTTGCTTATTTAAAACTTGAAGAGCCAAACACTCAATTCAAAATGGAAAATCAATTAAAAATCTTCACCATTGCAATATACAATATAGCTCAAACGTGCAAGAATTCTTTAGTTGAACATGCAAAAAATAGTTTGATAAAACTTGAACAAGGCGAAATAGTGATGCCCGCATTTAAATTTATAATAGATATTAGATAGATGGATATATACCGAGCTATCAAATGATTCATGTAATTTTGTTAACTACTTGTTAACCAGGAAAAAGTCGTGTTCCGATCTGATAACGCATGCTTATCGCAAGCGTAAGCACGGAGGCGAAGCTGCAAGTTGCAAACATAAGCGAGCAAACGGCAAAAAGCTCTAAAACAGCATAAACAGTGAATTAAAGGGAAAGGAAAAAAAGAAAATAAGCCTTGAAAAATTATCCTCTTGCAATGTGTCGAAATTAAACCTCAGACATGGGAATTAGGAGTCTCTGCATCTGCACCACGGCCCAGCTTAAGCTGGAGATACCTGATCGCTATTTTTAATGATATGAAGATAAAGCGTAATGAGTGATCATGAGAGAGCGACGAAATATGATGAAAGTATTACGGATAGCTTGTAACAAGACCTCATAACTCCCCAGAAACAAAAAAGATGGCCAAAAGGAAAAGATAGCGAAACTCGAAGGCAAAACCCGAAACATTAACTTGGGAGCACATACGACCTGTCCTTAAGCTATGAAAGCTACCAAATATGGCGAAAGGTACAGTTTTACGTGAAGTAAATTTTAAAATGACGTTAACTTCTATGAGTAGCAAATTTACCACAGAAAAGAAGCAGAGCTTCGCTCCATTTGCGATACAACAATAGCGTAGCTATGCAAACTACCAATTAGACTGAGATTGCAAAAAATACAGTTCGAAAAAAATGCAAAATCAACTTTTGAAAATACGAAAAGTCCAATCTCAGAAAAGCAAATGAGAAACACAACCACTAGGTTTAAAAAAGGCTTTATTTTGTTCCGAGCGTTCAATAAGCCAAAAACACGTGATTAGACGCCAACTGATCCGAATACAAAAATGCCAAAAATCGTTGTCATAAAAAATCAACAATTTTTTGGAAATAGAAAAAATCGATCATCGAAAAAAAAACCGACGAGAAACACAACCATTATCATTTAAAACTTTTTAAGTATTTTTTCGAGCGTTCAGTAAGCCAACAACACGTGGTTAGGCGCCAATTGATCAGAAAAAAAGTGCCAAAGGAAATTCTTGTCTACAAAATTCAACAAATTTGTTGCAAATACGAAAATTTCAATCTCAAAATATCATGCATGAAACACATCCACTGGCACTAAACAAGCTTTTATTAAGCATATAACACATAGTCAGGCAAAAACTACTCCAAAAACACAAAACGCCAAAGGAAATTATCATGAAAATATTTAAGTGATTAATTTGTTTGAATTTGGAACTTTCATAGCAAAACCGTCTGAAATTGTTCAAAACAAGAGTTTTTGATTTTTATCGTCAAAGCGAAGCAAAGTAAGATCAACAAACCGACAAAACATACCAAAATTTCTTAGGTCAAATCAATTTTCTAAGCGAAAAACAAATATGAAAAAATGGCAAATATACCAGTCAGAGATAGTAAAATCAATAAACTAAAAGAGTTCATCAACGACACTTGAGACTGCAATAGAAACTCCGGACTGCACAACTGAGCTGAATGCGTTGTGTGGCAACTAAGCCGACAAACTATAGTCCGACTCTTTCAATGTTTTCCTGGAAAAAGTCAATTTCAGACGCTGAAAAAAACAAGCTCCGACAGGGACACGGAACCCAGACCATGGTATGCAAAGGCAACCGCATTACTTCCAGGCCAAGAGAGAAGGGACAAGGGAGCTTGAGAAAGAATGCTAAGATTCGCTAATAAAGCAACATATATTTCAATAATGATTGTGTCGTAAAAGTTGTTTACGGAGCAAACGTCTTGTTCCCGATTGGAAGTCAAAAAAATCTTGCATTTTATCTACGAGGAAACTTTTACCTACGTGGCTCATTTCAAAACAAGGACCTGAAAAATCCTGATGTAATATAGTTTATCTACACTCGCACACACTGCTTCACAAAGTTTGATCATGAAAAAAGAGTAAAATTTCATTTCAAAACGTTAAAACTTTCAAATGTGATTGTACGACGCTAACGGCCCAGAAAAAAAACATCTTTTTGAACAAAAAAAAACTTGAAAAAAAACACAAACTTTTGAAATGTTCTCATTTTAATATTTTCACTATCATTTTTGACGGTTTCATTTAACATATAAAATTAAGCAAAGGGTTTTCGGATTAAACCCGCAACCCCAGTGTGATTTTGAAAAAACGCAAACAAATTTCACAACGGTGAAAAATCGAAAATTTATGACATTTTCCAAGGCCATTATTTTGATAAAAATAAGGACGCACCCGCTGAAGCGAGACAGATTTCCGCAAACTGTTCTTTCGATTAAACGCTCAGTCCTAGATTTGGGAAGATATTTTTTTCGGCGCGCGCTCCCCCCTCAAAACTAGTATATATTGGCGCCAACGGCGCCTTTAGAAAATTTTTAGGGTCCGTCACCAAAAATGGATATCTCAAAATAGTACAAAGAAGCTTAAATTCCGTCTGGAAGGAAACATTATATTCTGACTTGAAACCCCAACTATTGTGAATGATCTTGACGAAGAATCTAATGAGAAGTATCTTGAAAAATAAGAGAGCCGACAGCGAAAACCGTAGCGACAATCTTCGAAAAAATGGAGGAGATCAAGTTAACATCTTTCCCAGGACCAAAGTTATATTAGAGATTTTATCATGCGTTTTAAATGTTAAAAACTCAGCCTGAAACCACTCCGAATTGAAATAATGTCGGATCCATCGAGTGATATAGTATTTTATGCCCTGTTTTTGTATGCTCAATTCCGATCTTCATTGGTTTTAGTATGCGACAAGGTAACAGTAAAATGACCAAAATTTCAATACCTTTTGATATAAAATACAATATATGTACCCGTTATAACAATGCGAAAAAGTAAAAACTACCTGTAAGCTCCCAGCTGACGCTTATGAGCCAGGCGAAGCCAAAATCTCGGAATAAAACAGCCTTTCCAGCGTAGCCTATAATGTGACCAATCAGAAAAATGTCTGATTTTTTGAGTAGATTTTCCACAGTGAAGTCGCAACTGCCAACTTCGTCGTCCTCCGAGAGTTCTTGCAAAGGATCTAAGTTCAACTTCACTATAGAGCCAAGAGTATGGGTCAGTGCAGCGGGATTTCTAGTCTGTGATAGCAAGTATATGAAAAACAGAAGATAGAAACCTGTCACAGCGTTCACAGCAAACGTCGGCAGGTATCTTAAATAATGAAGAGCGTTACTTCTTGTTGTTGCTACTTCTATCGTTGTTTCAGCCTGGATAACTTTAAAAGTATTTAGAATGTTTGGCTGCAATGAGTCGACTGCACTGGTCTTGCATGATTCGCAGTTAGCTTTGAGCATATTATCTAAACATGGTAACCTCGATCTGGTATATTCTATGCATTCTCCATTATCACATCTACATTGAACCGCAGGTTTAGGATCCAACGAGTTCAGATTGCAGTCGAGCATTTGGAAGGCAGTGACACTACTCCTCTTTGAGCTTAAATCTCTACTCTGTTGACTCATGAGGGTTGTTTTTGAAGGAGCTCCAGGAACAAAGAGGGATGTTGCAATGACAGAGGGAACTCTGAGAAATAGATCCAGGAAATGACTCCCAAACCAAGCGTACTTTGGCTGTTCGATTGCCACAAGATCAGACGTCATGTCCTTCAGAATTGAAGTTATCACATGGAGATCAAACAGGGTCTGATGAGGAGGTCGTGGTCTTTCAAAGTCCAGTGCTAATAACTGGGTCACAGCCCCATTTCAACCAAGCACAAAACCTGAAAGCAAAAAATTTCTTTTTAAATTTTCCATCACCATATTTTGACCCATTAACCTTTCTCTTATTGGACGTTTGGGGTAAGTACCCAGATTTTTAGTAATTGTTCCGACCACTCTCGAGGAGAGGATAACAAAGGAACCATAGCTTCGAGTCCATTTTTAAATGGTTTTCTGGCCCATTTTGACAAACTCAAAGAAAGCTTGTACAGAGTAGAGTAGGGTACCATACCGCTCTTTCTTGCACTTTTCATTTAATTCAATCACAACTTCCAGAAAAAAAATTAGAAAAAATTTCTGGTTTCTATATTATTTTTTTGACTATCTTTTCATAAACCAACGGAACATTCTGTGCTACTTGCGCATCGGAACATTATGTGCTACCTGCAAATCCGCTATCCTAGTTAATGTTTACAGTCATTTACACAACGGTAAAGACAAACAAACAAGCTGTCGACAATATTTCTTTTTGCTGGGCTGCGATTAGATAGATATCTCCACCTCAGTTAATAAGTAAGGATGGTGGTAGACCTCAAAACCCTGCCCTTTGATTAACAATTAGAGTCATCAGCAATACATTTGCGACCGCTTCCGTTTACATTTTTCATTCAGCAAACAAGATTTTCGGAGTTGAACTTCCGAGACAGGAAAATTATGGCATAAAAACTCTTTGGAATAACTCTTTTTCCACTAAATTCTTACTCTCTATAGCAAATTTTAAGGCTAATCTGCCTATTTTTCTGTTTGACCTTTGAAAACAGACGAGAATACATTTCTTGCTTTGATCAAACCCCAGATTTTATTCTAAACACGTAGAAAACTGAACTTAAATGTTTAATTCCAACTCTAGCTCAGATGTTACATCAAAAAAGGCTAGATTTAACATCAACCAAAATTCTAGTCTTGATTATTCCACCTTCAAACTTTTCCAATTATCCATCCGCGAGTTTTGATTCCTCGTGGGAATTTAGTTCATCAAGCTTAGGCTTTTTTATAATCGGACACATTTCCTCTCCGATTGATTTATAAGAGCATAAATCGTCAACTTTCGTGCCTGGTGACATTTTGCGTGCTAAAGACAGCCCAAAATACGCGACGTCATCACTGTCTTCTTGTCCGCTCTTATCTTTAGATAATTGATTATCGAAGGGATTGGAAGACACGGTTTCAAAATCTAACATAAAAGTCAAGTTGCAACTGAAAAATTCGGTCGAAAAATTTTTCATGCCCAAAAGTGAAGAAACTGAATCCAATTGTGTATTCCGGTTCAGTGCCCAAACAGGTTGCGATTGGATTGAAAATAATCCAATGCACTCTTCATTTGGCTTTAAATCTTTTGACTGAGGATGCCTTAACCCCACGGCAACCAGGTTAAATTTATGCATAACGGAAACGCATGTAATTTCAACTTGATTGAAATCTACTTTGGAACTATATTTAAGTTTAATTTGTCTGCCACATGCCGAACCCAATTCACAATCAATCAGAAGCAAAAGCGACGGATTCCTGGTAGCCACTACCGCCATGCTTTCCGTTATACTGTCTATCAAAATGGGATAAGCGCCAGTTAAATGTGAAAATCCATTAGTCGCACGGTCCTCAAAAAAATGAGAAGATTTTAGATTTAATGAAGCAACACATGTGCCCCGGTGGACATCCCACAGTTTTAAGGACCCATCGTAACTACCTGACAGTAACCGGTTATCTTCAGATCCCAGAAAACAGCAACTCGTGACGTAATCACGATGACCCATTAGTATTCTCTCGACTAAAAATAAGTCAGGGTAGTTGTATATTTTGATTTTCATGTCTCGATCGCATAACGCCACCAGCTTTTTCTGATTAGGTTGCATTTTTATTTGCACCAAGAGTGAAGTTACACATCCTGCACAGATAGTATGTGAAACATGAACACCACCAACAATAATGTTTCTCCTTACACTTTTGTTGTCGCATTTTTCTTCGGAAGCGTTTCTCATCAACAAAAAAGGAAGCGAGAAACCTGCGATTTTCTTCACCTCTTCCAGTTTTGAGTTAAACTCAATTTTCGAAATGAATCCTGCTTTCTCTCCAACCAGGACAATATCCTGAGTTACTATAGACAATGAAACCGGTCTTTTTTCCAGCGATATAATTGCCATCAAAACTATTTCTTTGTTTCCGCGTGATAAATCTAAAACCCAAACATGCTTTAAATCAGTTCCGAAAGCGGATCTCGCCTTCTCGGACAAAACTTGACAACAAGTTATGTTTCCGAGCATCTCCAATTTTTCTTGAGAGTCGCCAGTAGAACCATTTTCATTTTCAGATCCTCTTTTAGGTTCCACGTTATGATCATTCTTCGTCAGCGCTTTTGTCGAGGTTGTAGATTGAACTATTAATTCAAAATTAATGCCATCTGTTAATGCTGAATGGTCGTTCTTTTTATGGTGCGACAACACTGCAAAGTGGGTGCCACAACAAATGAGCAACCAGTTTCCATCTGCCGCGAAAAGCGTCATTATTGTTACTCTACTAAATCTGAAACAAACAAAATCGGATGAAAAAAATCACTTTAGCGAATCAAAACAGCAACTATACAACGCTCCCAATACAAGAATTTATAAATGAGACACAAAAAAAACAAGAACCCATTATCTCTTCATTAAGTCTCGACACTTAGCTTGCCAAATCGGGAAAAATAGCAGAAGTGGCATCTTCTAAATACAAACACCTAGCCACTCTCCTTCCGATGCCTGAAGTGTTCAGACCAACAATTTGGTGGGCTTAAGTGGGCTCACCCCTCCCACTCAAGACAACCATGATGATTTTTACACAAGGACGCTCAAAAAAGCGGCAAAAGAATCTTAAGAACGCAATGCAAAAAATAAGCCTAAAACGCCTTGAAAAACAAGAATAGCCAGTTTCCGAACAAATAGCACAAAATTATCCGATCAAATTAATAACGAAAACGCAAAAAAAAAGTTTTTTTTTGCAAATTTGCGTCGTTTTTGTAGTCCATTTGAATTACTTCCCCACATCACAGACTGAGTTATTACAAAGATCAATGACTTGGTGGGCTTAAGTGGGCTCACCCCTCCCAATTGTTGGGCTCACCCCTGCTACTTGAGAAAAACTCGATTAACCTGTGCATTATTTGAGCTAGCGTGGTGGCGCTTAAACCTTAAGATTTCTCTGAAGATTAGCAGTGAAAACTAGTAGCTACCAAAAATGGCGATACCTGTTTAATAATTTTTATGAATATATTCATGAATTTTTATGAAGATTATGTTAAAAAGGTAAAGCGTAAAATGTGATAAAGGGGAGCGGGGCAACAGAATTATTATGGATAGTTTGATAACAACCTCGTTACGTTCCAGATCCAAAGAAGAGGGCTAAAAAAATGACGTCAATCAAAACGGTAATGCAGGAGCTCATACGATTAGCGGTGATACTACAAAAACTGCCAAAATAGCAGTGCGGTTAAAATCCACGTGAATTTATTTCTAAAGGTGCCGTTAATCTAAAAGTGCGAGCAAGGTTGTAACCGCTTGACTTATTTCATAATGGTGTCCTGAAACATCCCACGATGTAATTAAGTTTATATTAACTCGTACACTCTGTCTCGCGAATTTCAACCATGAAAGACTTAGAAGGACAAAGGAGCAAAACTTCATGCCGAAATATAGGAATGCTTCGAAACATGGTTGTATGCTAGAGCTCAAGACAATATAACCCGTCAGAAAATGATAAAACTTTCAAATTTTCACAAAAACCGTTAGCATGTTAAATATTGGACGTTTTTCAAGTCCATAGCGATTACCCTAAAAACTTAGGGATTAAACGCTCGAGAAAAATAAATGAATTTCACCAAAAACGGTCAAAAACCAAAAAGTGAAAAAATGACCTTTCAAAAGGTTGTCACTTTATTCTACGAATGACAGTCGTTTATGCAGGTAAGATTCCCACAACAAATGTTTTCGATTGAACCCTTAAATTCAGATTTGGGAAGGTATTTTCGAGAAACGTCAAAAGGTTTCACAATAACGGTCAAAATCTCAAAAAATGCCTTTTTCCTAATACACTTTTTTGTGCTAAAATTAGGGCCTAGCTGCTTCTACAGGAAAGGTTCCCACGGCTTTCAATTAAAACCTTAATTCCAGATTTGGGAGGTTAGTTTTTGAAAGTTTCAAAAAGCGACCAAAATTCAAACGAATGGGCATTTTTGAGGCCAGACCTGTTTTATTAAGAAAACTAAGGCGTAGCGTCTTATGCAGGGAGGCTTTCCACAACTTATTCTTTCTATGGAACTCAAAATCTCAGTTTTGGGTAGTTTGGCAGGGTCAAACACTCCACCCACAAAATTTTTCAGAAGAAAGTCGAATCAAGAAAAAACAGACTAAAGAAATCTAAGCACACAGGGTAGTGGGCGGTCTTTTTATTGATAAATTTCGCAAAAATCGCGGTAGATTAGCTTATGAGAAAAGTGAAAACACTAAAATAATTGCAAACAATGTAATCACTTGAGACTTAGTTCTTCCTTTTAGCATTACTTACTTTATTAATTGCAGCACAATTACTTAACTTTACGCTCGGACCACATTTACGCTCTGACCACAAAATGTTCTGAGCACATTAATAAAGAAATACTAAACAATTTTTTTGCAAATTTGTGTTGTTTTTGGTAGTCCATTTGTATTGTTTCCTCAAATTGCAGACATTTCTTTTTGCGACTGCTATTGCTGAAAACTATGGATGCTGAAAACCATGGAGCAATTGTGGATGATGAGACTACAAGTGATACTGCAAAACAATGTGGATGAACACTCGGTGGCTACGAATAGGAATCAGGAAAAAAACGAAGAAAAAATAAGGTGAACAACCAGATGAAAAGATGCATCTAACTGTGAAAATTTCCATATTTCTCTTGTGAAACATTACGTCATTCTACCACATTGTATTGAAACTGAGGCTATCCATTTTTCAGCCATGCTTGAGAATACCTTACCAATATGTAAAATTGCTTCCATCAAGGTAGAGGTAACGCGATTCTTCTACAAAGTCACCGAGGGGAGCGTGAGAGTAAAAAATGGACCGTAGTAGCTTATTGCAGCAATAGAAAAGAAACAGAATGAGAAGGCAAAACTATGATCTCTACTTTAGTAGACACTGCTTATATCATCTCGGTGCCCAAAACAGTAATGACATCTACAGCTGCAAAAGAAAACTGTGCAAATCGTATCAGAGGAATACCTGCTTCCACCATTTTCCTAGTTATGATTAACGGCCTGCCTGATATCTGTTTGGTACCTACACGTTTTCCCTGTAACCAATAACTCGAAGCTCTTGGAAGTAACAAAATTCGAAGAACCCGTTAAGACTGACTTGACTTAATGGCAATTTATTGATGGCGCGATAGGAAAAATCTTCGACTAACATAGAAAAATGCCAGTCAATGATTTCGACGGCAATCCGTGACCTGCAGCAACTGATGGAAAGGTTCTAGTATCTGCACACATACACCTTGAATTGGGGCCTAGCATAAGTTCAGATCCTCGACGGACAGCTCAGATAAACGATGAGACGTTTTCCAGACGAATCGGCGTAACTCACATCATCTTACTGTAAATGCAAAACTGAATCTATATTAACTAATGATCTTTCCGGTTCGTTTGAAGTTTTCCGTCCGTCTGCTGGTATGGCTGCGTAATTATGTCTCGCCTTTTGGTGGCAAATCAGAAACGGATGACTAAAATTCTACCATGATTACACCTCAAATCTGTAGCGTCTCAATATACTTTCGTTAAGTCTTAATCTGCAATGACTAGATCTAACTACGCTTTCAAAAAATTATCTTTAATGGCTACAATTTTTCCGGGCTTGAATGGCGTTGCTTAATGTGTCACCTACTGATACACGTCAGAAAATATAATATTTCTACATATGCAACCAAGGAAAAAACAAGCCAGTCGAACTTTTGGCTCCGCGCCAGGATATTAATGAAATTGTTGCCTTTAAGTATTGGGTTTGACAACAAATTGGCCTGAACAATCGACTGCTGAGGTTATTCCGGGATTATTTTGCAAACTGCTATTCTCCTCACATCTCACGCACGTGGAAGATTCATTGCAACTCGGCAGCCTCTCGTAAGTTTTATCAACCGAATTCGGGGCATCCCCTTGGCGGCAACGCCTGTATTTGTAAAAATTATCATTAGACAGAGGCGAAGTTGCACTTCGCAAACAAAGTAAAAATAAGACCGATAACGCTACTGGGAAAAACGTTTAGTCTACAAAATTTCTTAAGTAACGCAAGCCAATTATGAGTCAACATAATTGCTAAGTGACACAAAGCCAATTATCACGCATTAGCAGTACCAATAAATTTGAAAAAAAAAAGATATTTTCCAACTAACATGCCTCAATTTATAGAGCGGACGCATTTTAGCTAGTATACGAAAAAGTTCATTAAAAACATCCGACCCTGCCCAAGTTCGAACCCTATTATTTTGTTGGTGGTCTCCTTCCCTACCTCTATATGATACCTTGAAGCTTGAGTGCTATTTGTAATATAATAGTCAGTGGTAACATCCTCAGCATTGGCTGTACTTGATATCTGGTTATTGATCAAAACGAACACATTTTACCGCAAAAAAATTTGTGTCGCAACAATATTTGCGACTTAGATTGGAAGAAAAGAGATTTCATACTATAACACAAGCTTTGCTTGTGTTAAAATGTGTGGCGGTACCTGTTTGATATTATCAAAAATATGTACTTATGCGTATGAAAAGCGTAACATTCAAAACTTCAAAAATCGGACTTAAGCCAAAATCTTAGTGGTTTTTCTAGCAAAACAAAGAATGAACAGCTTATATAGGGGAGATTCCTACCACCAATCTTTCTTTTAAATAAACTAAATGTCAAATTTGGCAAGGGTATTTTTCATGAAAATGGAAAAACTTCAAACTATTTAAAAGTTTTTCCAAAAACTATACATACAGGCTTGTCTACAAAAAATTGAATGTGAACGTTTATGCAGAGATCATTGCAGAAAAATGATTCAATTCAACCAGTTAACTCAGAATTGGCGAAGCAGTTTTTGAGAAAAGAAAGAAGTTTCAAACTTTCATTTTTACTCAAATTCATAGCTTCAAAAACTTCAATTTTCTTCCAAAACGTCCTGCAACCTGTTCTTTCGACTGAATCCATATCAGCGTTTCCACTTATGATGGTAAGATTCTCATAACCTGTTATTTCGGCTGAACTCTAAATCTGGCTCTAAATGATTGGCAGGGTAGTTTTCGAGAATCGCAAAAAATTGAATAACGGCGAAAATTTCAAAATTGGACTTTTCCAAAAAACAGTTTCGGCACAGCCGCTTTTGCACAGAACAAATGCTCGCAACCTTTTCCTCCGATCGAACCCTCAATCTCAAGTTAAGCACAGTAGTCTTTGAGGCAAATTTCCAAAAAACTATTTTACAAAAAAAAACTATTTAACAAAAAAAATAACAAATTTGACTTTTTCAAAGGCCATAACTTTTTTCTACAAAAATTAGCGCAGATCCGGTTATGCATGGAAAACACCCACAATAAGTTTTTTCAATTTATTTTTATACCTAAATTTTGGAGGGCAGTTTCCGAGAAAAAAAATGCTACCTGTTCTTTCGATTGAACCCTGTGTCTCAGATTAGGCAGGGTAGTTTACGAGAAAATCCAAAAAATCAAAAAGGGTCAAATATTCCCCCATTCGAAGTTTCGAAGGCCATAGAAAAAGGATCAGGGTAAAAAAACTAGTATAATACGAACACAAAATAGTAACCGATCTTTCCATCTCTGGATTCGGAGTTACGTGCACCTAACACACATACCATCAGTCTAGAAAATCGATCGATTAAACGGAAAAATCTCTAGCTATTGGAACTTCTCAAATAAAAATCAAGCAGACTTGCGAAACAAAACATAGCCAATCGAAGATTGGGAAAGAGTAATGAACTTGAGTGAACATAAAAAAAACACTGACTTTCTTGAAAAAATCTTGAATTTCAAAGAAAAAACAGATGCCCTTTAAGCTCTGTGAATTTCAAGAACAATTTGTGTGGCGCTTTTTTGATAACATGAACCCAACTTGAAAAACTGGACCAATAGGTAAAGTTTTTATTCCGCTGGGATATCTTAAGAATAAATTCCACTTTCGAAACTAATAATCGTTCACGTTTTTTGAGCCATTTCAACGTTCGTATTTGAGGAGTGCTAATTCCGTCACTTTCAGCAGATGAATTTCAATTGAACTCAAAAAGTGCATTATACTTAAGTGCATCAATATTTTAAGACTTTTTCCTGAAAAATCAAACAAAAAACATTAAGACCTATATATAAGAGTCTTCACTACGTTCATTACTCTTAAAAATTAACAGAAAAGCTGAAAATTACGGTTTTAAAGTACAAAATCAGCGTGTAACACACCTCTTTCCTCGCAGAAATTATAAAAAAGCAATGCAATCTGTCAACCATTGTTATGATTAACCTAACCTGGATGAAAGATTTCTACTAAATATGTTGTTTTTGTCCAAAAATAATTGTATTTGCTCAAACTCTACACTGCCTGTAAGCTTTGATGAATTATTTTTTTTTTACTATATATCGAATTACAGGAAATTAAGTGTTATTTTTCATGAAAAAAAAACAATTCTCTGGCCTCTGCTTAGACAAGCATACCTTAAGCTATCAGCCCTTAGCAATGTCAGCAAAAACTTTGGTAAGCGAGTCTAAAGTTTGTTTTAGTTATGTTAGACATTAAGATAAATATGGAAGTTACCCAACTCGAGGCTCGACATTACCGAAGGTAGTATAAAGCAAAAGAGGCGGAGGGGGCAAAAAAGGCTCAACACAGTCCTTACTCTTTGATTTCGATTGAAGCAAACTACAATCGAAGTTTTTATTCAATCTTTACCAAGTGACGGTGGGGTTATCAGTTCATAAAAAGATTTAACTCAAAAATAATACGGATTGATGCTAAAGCGAAGAAAAATAGAGCAAACAGACAGTTGGAAAAAGTGTCAATGAGCGCAATGAAACCACAAAAAAAAGATTTGATTATTTTTAAACGTTTTCGACAACAAAATGAGTGCCTTGAAGAAAATTTGCACCTTGAGCAAATGAAATTGAATTTAACTTAAGAATAGCAAAAATAAGTAAGTGCATTTTTAAAAGAATTATGTATGAATGCAATTCTAGTACTTGAGATTTAAGACTTTCCTTTAAAAAAATCATCGGGTCTTCACTAAGTTCATTAAACACATTCTTGTCAAAAGACTTCTATTGAATAACTTTGAAAGCAAAACCATTTTCAATTTATTCAGATTTAGAAACCACGCTTCTTATTGAAATACGGTTTTAAATGACTTATCTATCACTAGCGGCGGAACTAGACAATTAACGTTACAGCTCAGTCAAAATTAACAGGACAAATGGCTTCCTTCAAAAAGGCAAATTAATTTCCCGTGTTGTCAAAAATATTCAAAAATTTTCCTCTGTTGATTTCATGCAGTTCTTGCACACCAAGTTCGTAGGCAATATTCTCTAGTTCATCTAATTTGGACAATATGCCCTGTGTGCTCAAAGTGCTGTACTCGGAGAGAATTGTGATATCCCCCTTTTCAAAATTAACCTTCCCACTGACGCCCCCTGTAGCGACGGTGGCGGGAACACGGATAGAAGCTCGATTCTTGGAGTAAAATTTGCTCAAATTTAGTACTGTTTCAGGCCAAATTTCAGGCGATGATCTGCCATTGATAGTTTCATTTGAGAGCAAAGCAGTGTGCCTTTCGTTTGGCACAGTTGGAGTATTCGGAAAATGTTGGTTTTCAGGAAAAGGTTCTTGAGAAGAAGAATTGGCTTTTGTCATGGGGAAAAGAGACTGCGACGAGGTTATTGAATGGTCCAAAGTTCCAAACCGTCGATCCGTTGCAAAGTTATCGGAAAATGACTTAGCATTAGAACCATTGGCAGACATACGAGATTCTGAAAATGTATGACTGTTAAATATAAAGTAGTCCACAGACAATGAGCAAAAAATTGTAACTAAAACAAAACAAGACTGCTCATATATCAGGGCAAAACCCTGAATGTTTTGACTGTCCCTTAATCCATATCGAATAATTTTTAGGGAAACAAACGCTTTCAGGATTATGTATACAATCTACAACGCGCGCATAAATTAGTCCAGAGCATGGTTAAATTGGCAATTCCCAAAAGGTTGCAAAATTTTCAAAAAAAATAGGTGGCCTCAAAGAAAGCTCTTTGAAACTTAACATTTTTTCTAATGGTCGCTTATTTGAAAGAAATGACCACACAGAGGAAACGAATTTGAATTTCAATTCGCGGGCAAATCTAAAAATGAACGTCCACTTTCAGAAACTGAAACATTGCCAATCGAAGATTGGAAAAGAGTAATGAAAGAAAGTAAAAATAAAAAAAAAATCAACTTTCGAAGTTCAAAGAAGAAAGATATGCCCTTAAAACTCTTTGAATTTCTAGAACAATTTATGATTGGCGCTTTTTTGTTAACATGAACCCAACTTGAAAAAACTGGATCAATAGGTAAAGTTTTTATTCCGCTGGGAAATCTTAAAAAAAAATTCCACTTTCGAAACTAGAACTCGTTCACGTTTTTCTGGGCAATTTCCACGTTCGTATTTGAAGAATGCTTACTACGTCACTTTCAGCAGATGAATTTCAATTGAACTCAAAAAGGGCATTATACCTAAGTGCATCAATATTTCAAGACTTTTTCCTGGAAAAAAAAAACAAAAAAAAAACAGCAAGACCTATATAAGAGTCTTCACTACGTTCATTACTCTTAATCAGTCTTCAAATATCGAAGAAAAAATATCCACCATATTCCTGCTTTTTGCTCACTTTCTACTTCAACATTGAGAAAGAAACAATCTTTTCAAAACATAAATAAAAGCAACTTATTTCAATCAAAACCATGCTTCCTTATGTAATGAGGTTTCTTCTTGAAAGACAACTTTGAGAACTTCAATCCTTGTAATTTATCAATTTTTCCAGGCTGCTCAGCAGAAATTTGGTCGCGGCAGAACTCAGGCATATACTGTTGCAGCACTCGGGGAATTTGAATTGATTTATCTTTTCTTTGATAGTTCTCCAAAATGGCAATTATCATTCTCGGAGTTGCACATGCAGTGCCATTGACAGTGTGAACGAACTCTGATTGGCTAGTAATATGGAGTCTCTGAGACTGAAAGTTCGTACAGTTTGAGCAAGATGAGATTTCGCCCCACTCTTTTCTTCCGGGCAAGTATGCCTCAATGTCGATTTTGCGATAAGCAGGAGCACCTGGGAAAACACATAAGGCTCTTTTAAGAAATAGACTAAAAACTAGTACTTTACATTGAGAACTTGCGCCATTAAAATTTAGAAAAAAATCTAGACAAAATGGAGAAACTTAGCATTTTTGTGATTAAGAAAAAGGATATTGTAGCTTTTCAATCACCATGAAAATTTTAGGGTCAGAATATAATGCTGAAATTTTAATGCTGAAATATAATGTGTAAGCTGCAATTAAGTAATAAATCTAATCCCCCAGTGACACTATAAAAGCAGACTCTGCCTGCCTTCCAGCAGCCCCGTGCTGATTGCCTCAATGACGAGGAAGGATTTGTATAAACTTTTAAATAATTTGCATAAAACAGCTCACAGATAACCCTATTTTCTCTGAAAAACACACATGAAATTTGCAAAAACAAGTCTAAAACTTCGGACTTTTTTTAAAAGTTTTTTGGGATTAAGTTGTTTTTCTGTGGAGATTTAAACAGTTTTGAGTCGCACGTCCAACTGAGTTGCACGTTCAACTGAGTTGCACGTTCAACTGAGCAACTCTAGCAAGCCCGTTTAATTTTTCAATCTTAAGTTGATTAGGAAAATAAGCATGCTTAGTGTCGCTTCAAAATACTTACATAGACTTGAATAACTTGCATAGTTTGACTGACAAAGAGATAAAATTTTCTATGCAAGATTTTTATTTGATAAATTGAAGAGAAAAATAAACTGAACTTTGATAGCTTCAATCCTTATTTTCATCCCCATATGTCAAAAAAGGTAGTTAAATTAGATAGCAATAATTTTTTTTGCTTAATATTTGGAAGAAATTCTCCGCGAAATCAGATTTGCAAGCAAGCTATTCAAGAGATGAAAATTTTGAAATAATTTGAGAAGTTTCTATAGCTTTAATTGTTTCACATGAAGTTAGTGCTTTGCAGCAAATCATTCAAACAATGAAAATTTAAAAAATTCATTTATTTTAACCGCTGAAATTTTTCTGAAGGAAATACAGTTAAGCGCTTGCCAGTTTTAAAAAAAATGTTGTTTTGATAGTTTTAAAGACTGTGTGAACATTTGACTTAGTCAAAACAAGCTATTGAAATGATTAAAATTTTGAATGGATCAGTTTTTCATAGCTTGAATTGGTTGACGAAAACATATACTTATTTCGAAGCAAGCTATTCAAGCGACCAAACTTTTAAACATCTCAAGTTCCATTGATGAGATGATTGGTTGGCTAAACGTTTAAATAAATTTTTTAATGCAAGATATGGAGCAAAAAAAAACTTCGAAATAATTGAGAAAAAACGTTGCAATGCTTTGAGTATTTTTTCGCAGTTTTGGCGTTCAAACTCTCTGTGACATAGCGAGAAAAAGACCATCAAAAAAAAACTTTATTTCAAAGTAAAATATTGAATTTAGAAATAAATATCTTTCAATTAACATCACAGCCGATCATATTTTTGACCCTTAGATTCTTCGAAGTTTGTCAAGTTTTTTGGTGGGAACATCGGGTTAAAAAACACTTGTTGTGCTCAATTGTATTTGTTTCTCCCTCCCTTACATCCCCGAAAAAGAGTTCTTCAATTAGGACGACAATGTCTTCGAAAGACTACTACCTAACCATAGGAAACACACGTGCGCCAACGAAGATGAGCTTAACAGACAGCTGGGCGAACAGCTAAACGCAGGTTTGCAAAGCGCACTCTGAGAAACGCTGGGACAATGGAGGGCCTCTGAAACGCAAAAGAAGCATTCACAACATCAGTTCTCATCAGTCAATCAAAGCATGAAGGACTTGAAGTCTTCGGTGACCAGCATCAAAAACGAAGAAAAATGACAAAATCATCAACGCAGTTGCTTCGGTCAAAAATGAGTTGACTGTTCTGATGCATAAGTTAGTACTGCTGGTAAAGTGATATTGAAGGTTCTCTTCAAGAGAAGTCAGATCATCTTTTTGAAATCAGGTTGACAGAGTAGCGGAAAATGGGTCCGCAGTTTTCTCTCATCTATCGCAAAACCAACCAACAATTGAAGTTAAACAGCTAGTGAAACCTAATTCAGGAAAAGAACGCTCTCGAATTATGCCTGTCATACTCCACAACGCATGGAACGTTGGTGCTCTTCTGGGAATTGACAAACAAAAACCTCATTGAAATCTTCATCAAAACTATTGACGATTACATTTTTTATCGTTTAAGGCTAGTTGGCCTGAGTTACCTTATCTTTAGTTTTTATAAACCAACTAAAAACAGCGCTTTTCGATAGAGCTTGGAAAAATGCAGAACCATACTATCTAGTGAGCTCTGTACTGAACTGATGATAACGAGAATTTCTTGGAGAGTTTCATAAGCCCAACTTCGATCAAGATATTGATTTCCCTACAGCCCGCAAATCCACCTTAGATATTGTAATTCATCCAAGTCAAAAATAATCGTATCGTCTCCAGTAGACAACTATATCCTTACTTTGATCATTACCCAAGAACAAATTGCTTGAAAGGTTCGACAAAAGCTGCGCAAAATTCTCCAGAACAAACTTGGAGGTGAAAAATGTTCCGCTTCTCCCAAAATGCAGATCAAAAACCAATGCCTCGTTGAATGGTACGTCTGGCTGAATTCTCACTTGAAAGAGTGTATCACCTTTGCAGCAGTTCATCGAAGCAGTTTACCTCCATGAAAACACAGAGCAGTCCTGACCAAGAGTGGATAAGACGCGCGGCCTTTAACACAAAGGTGGTGGGTTCGAATGCCGCTTCGGTCATGGTTGGAAAGTCCAAGTGTCATCCGCCTCCTCAAAGTTCCTTAAGGAGTAAAAGGTCCAAGGTTGAAAGGTAGCTAAAATGTCCAAATTTACGTCGGGTGTCAAAGCAGCGAGCTTATAAAAACAGATTACTTCAAGGATCTTCAGGCTCAGAATCACAAATCCAACCTATTGTGCAATAATGCTCGGCAAGATTCACTGCTGATACAATAGAAGGTCATGTTTAGGAAATAGATGCTTGTTCTGTCTTTGCTCCGGTGATCGGGCAAACAAACTGAAAAAAAAGGAAGTTGGTCCAGTGTCACCGCTCCTTAAAAGGGCTTGGAAAGCCAATTTAACACAGAAGCCAAGCCAAGCTCGCAAATCGTAGTGAGATTGAAATTAAAAAAATCGAAAACTGGGAAAATGAAAATACCTGTCAAATGAAAATGACAGAAAAATAGTCGAAAAGCCCGACAACCAGTATTAAATAAGCTTTTAAAAATTACCGAGCAGTCACTAAGCCTACAACAAGTGGTAAGACGACCATTGGTTCGAAAAAAAGCTAGCAGAAGTTTTTGTTATACAAAACTGCGAACAATTAAGTTTTTCAACTTTAAAATCTTGCAACACAAAATTAGAAGACAAATCCGATAAACCCAAACCATTTTTGCCGAACAAACAACGTCACCGCCATTAACTTTACAACTTACAGGAGCTCCAACGATAAAAACTGCTGATAAAACAATAATCTCCGCAGTGTGCCAACTAAGCGAACAAACGATGAGCAGACAAATAAAGTCTGACAGTTCAACTTTTTACGAAAAATAATTGAAAATTTTATACATAAAAAAAATTAGTTCCTACCGTGACTCGCACCCGAGACCTTAGGGTACTAAGGCAACCGCTTTATCTATAGGCAAGCGTTAACAGTTCCGAAAATGCTGAAATTCACTACTAAAGCAATTTTACAATGTGTAAGAAACGTTGTTTACGGGATAAAAAGTCTAGTTCCCGATTACAAGACACTTGCTCTTACTAGTGCTATAATAACCGGACTGCGAAAACTGCTACTTTTGAATCTCAAACTTTCGAAAAACGATTGCATGATCCGCTCTATCAGCACATAATTGATTTTATTTTACCTTGTCAGTACGGCTTCCAGAAAAGACATTGGAACACTCTCCAACTTCTCTATTGTGTGGAAAACATTCGAAAAGAAATTAAAGTTTTTGATCATCTCGTTGAAATCATTAACTTGGATTTCTCAAAAACCTTCAAACATAGTAGCAAACTGACAGTTGAAAAAGAGTAATGAACGCAAAAAAAAAAGAAAACAAAACTCACTTGATTTTCGACAAAATTTCCACTTTTAAATTATGAAGAAACAAGAAGATGGATTCAAACCTTTTTGAATTTGTAAAACAATTTATGATTGAAACTTTTCTCAGTAAAACTAACCCAATTTGAGCAAACTAGATCGATAGGAGAAACTTTTATTTCGCTGGGAAATCTGGTATCTAATTTCATCTTTGAAATAAGAAGCCGATCACTTTATTCGTGACCTTTAATTTCTTGCTGTTCGATTAACAAAAGAAATGAAGTGAACTCAAAAATAAATCAAAAGTCAAACCGCGAAAAATTAAAATTGAGCGTAGATTTAATCATTCGATAGTGATTAAGAAGTTTAAACAAATCGGTATCGGAGCAAGTTTGATCAAACTTCTTCGAGCCTATCAACCGAAAAAAAATTCAATTGATAAAAACTGACACAGAGTAGAGTCAGAAATTTGAGCAGGCACAAGTTGAGCCAAAAAATGCATTAACTCTTTCGCTCGTCAATCGACTCATAATGAGACTGTTAATCCGATGTAAAATAAACCGAAACCTTTTAAACCGAAAAAATATGAAAAAGGAAAACCGAAAAAAACTGCAAATGGCGTTGGTAAATTTACAACCAACAGAAAAAAACCGTTTTCGAAAGAAAGCGGGCATTTGAAACACACATATGCTCAAAACATGTCGGTTATTTGACAAAACTAAAGAATTGGAATTGAATGCCAGTTAGAGTCATTCTGTGAACAAACTTACTAACGGGATGAAAAAAAGTCTTATACTCGAGTGCTATACTCTTACTTATTGCAAAGGTAAAGATGGTCTAAACGGTCTAAAAGCAATGGTCTAAAAACAGAAAAAATTTGACTTAAGTTGGCTTATACGGGCTAATTGATAAAACAATTATTAGAATCGTCAAAAAATACCCAGAAAATGAATAAATTATGATCGTCAAAAAATACCAAGAAAATGAATAAATTATGCATGAATTGAATAATTGCATTAAATTTTTTGATTGAATTTTTTTTTAAATCTTGATGAATTTACTCAAATTATGCATAAAATGTTCGTTGTTCTGGTATTACTGACATTTCTGATAATTAATTTACCGATTAGCTTGAAAAAATTGATATTTTTCAGTTTTTCTGCTCTTGGACTCTTTCTGCTCTTAGACCATTCTGTGCTCTTAGACCATTCTGCTTATTGACTGGCCATCGGGCGTTCAACAGTGCCGAAAAAGGCGGGGAAATTTCAGAATAATTTAAACGCATTTTCTAAAGAGCGAGAAATTACTGACGCTAATTATCAAAGAAAATCAATCCAATTTCGGCGCCAAAATGTCTGGAACTGCAAATTGAACAATTATTTTGGCGCCAAAACGTCTAAATTGCAAATTTTCTCTCCCAAAATCTGTAAGTGCCACTTAAGATTGTAAACGTTCGCCGTTTAATTTTTGGTTGCCGCACTTAATATGTGGAAATTTGTTGATATTTTCGGCACTGTTGAACAAAGTTTTCATTTTCGGCACTGTTGAACTAAAAAAAAATTTCGGCACTGTTGTACTTCGGCACTGTTATACTGCCCCCAACAAATTGGTGGTTATTCAACTAACATTAATTTGCCATAACAATAAAGCTCAACTTAAATCAATTAATTGCTTGTCAAAAACTGATAGAAACAAGGGTCAATATATTGCACTTGAATGATTGCAACTAATTGCTCATCAATTTACAATTCCTAAGCCCTAAATATATTAACTTCAAGCTCAATAAATCTCAAAAAAAAAACATTTTGACACTTCTTTTGAAAAAACTGGATCAAAATATTAAATTGGTATTCCACTGCTGATTACAAACAGATCCAATTTTTGAAAAAGAAACTCAATCGCCACTAAAGAGCGTTATTTGCATTCTCTAAAGACTTTGAATTAGATCAGATGTGAAATCACAAAAGTTCATTAATGAGCGTGGACAATTTTTAACAAACGCGCGAAAACAAACACACCCACGACCTAAATAAGCAAAAATAGCAAAAAGTCTTGAAAAAAAATATATGGTCGGCCACGGAATTCGACCCACTGACCTCCAGGTACAATTAACTCGCCTGCGCCGCAGCGTCATCAAACCTTGCTGTCTAATGAAGTTATAAGGCCTATTATAAAGCTACTATTATAAATCCAACTGAAAATTGGAAAAGTGTCAACGAACGCAAGAAAAAAGTACGGTTCAATAAAATCGATCCTTAGCTAAATTTTTATGCTGGTTGCAAATCTTAAAAAAATCCACTTTCGAACCTTAAATTTATTCACATATTTTAAAAAATATTTCCGCTTTCTGATTCGGAGACCGTTATTGTGATTAGCAAATAAAATTGAACTGGACTTTGAAGAACTACAAACGATCAAAAAATTGGTATGAGACTTCTCCTTCGATTGGAAACATACTTCAATTGAAGAAAATTTTCTTCTGCTTTAATTGGACGCAATTTTTTTCGATTGAAAAGAGGGTTTTATTGGATAAAAGGGCAAGTATATTTTGCTTATAGTCGAAAAAAGTGATATCAATGTTAATACTGAGTAAAATCCGCTCGCAAAAAAAATCACTGGAAAGCAGCTAAAGACTAAAGCTATTTAATTTTAAAGCCTTCAATTTAAAAAAGATCTAAAATGTTTGTAGAAGCTCTAGACAGAATTGACTGAAATTTCAGCAATTGATTAAGTAAAATGCCAAAATCTGACGTAGTTTTTACTTTTTAGCAGAGTAAATTTTTGTAATCCTCGTCAGTTAAAGAGAAACTTATATGAGGGCCTGGCCTAGATCTTAAGCTTTTCAACAAACATTAAAATTCTAATCAAAACTGCAAACTCCTTTGGTTGTTTAAGGGAAACTTTTGGCGCTAAGAACGTTTCTCAGGCTCCTTCGTTTCATTGAATGAATAAACGAGGCCTTGAGAACAACTTTCTATGGATTGTTTTATCATGCTATATTCCAATAAACGGTTCATGCCAAATTTTCAACGCGGTAGCGAAGTTGCACTTCGCATACACAAGCAAAAATATGACCGATAACGCTACTGGAAAAACCTGACTGAGTACAACTTTGAGTCTACAAAATTTCTTAAGTGACGCATGCCATATATGAGTCTACATAATTTTAAAGTGACACAAGCCAATTATGACGCATTAGCAGTACCAGTCAATTTGAAAAAAAAGACATTTACCAACTAACATGCCTCAATTTATAGAGCAGACGAATTTTAATTAGTATACGAAAAAAAATCATTAAAAACATCCGACCCTGCCCAGGTTTGAACCCTCTTATTTTGTTGTGGGTCTCCTTCGCTACCTCTACGCTACAGATCCATGATACTTTGAAGCTAAAGTTCTAATTGTAAAACAATAGTCTGTGTTAAAACCCTTAGCATTGTCTGTACTTAATGGCTGGTTATTGATCAAAAAGAACACTTTCAAAATGAACACATTTTGTCGCAACATTTACGCGGCAACCATATTTGCGACTTAGGTTGGAAAAAGAAGATAGTTCATACTATAACACAAGCTTTGCTAGTGTAATCATGCAAAAATTTCAAAAGTGAATCGCAAATAGTTGCAGAGAAAAAGGCAAAAAGAAAATTGAAATTAAAGTTGAAACTTTTCACGTGACGGTACTATGCTTTATAAAACTGAGTCATTTTTAAAACAACTCCTGTTTTGCTTTGACCGGTTTATGTACTAAGGGGACTCTCAGCAGAATAAGCCTCTCGTCCCACCCCTTTTTACAATAATGGCCAAATACATACAGCCGCCATTAGGGCCCATGTGACATTTCAACCCAGCGACCAAATAGCTGCAACTGATTTACATTGACTACTGGCACTTCTTAACCATCATAATTGTTCCCTTGGAAAATAGGCCGAGTAGCAAATAAGAAACGTGCGCTTTGTTGCACCGACACTAGGGTAGAATTTTTAAGAAGATCCTTAACACTTTCAAGACATTATGCTTTTTGGAAAATTGAATGAAGATAAAACCCAATCCACTAATTGCAGGTAGTACGTGGATTGCAACGAAAAGAATAATACTAGGAAAAGGATAGTGTGAAGTGATCTCTTCTGCAACACAACGATCAGAGAGCATTTTTGCTTTATGATAATAACCAATATTGATGGTAATTAAGACCAAAACTGAAAAATAATTATAACCAAGCTTGCGATCATACTGAAAACTCATACCCAATTACAAAAACTAAAATTGTGGATTTTCGGAGAAATTTGCGGAGAAATTTTCAAAGAACTTAAATCTTATTCTCCCATATTATTGAAATTTTGAACCCGCTAAAATGCTTTGTAGATGCATTCAACAAATTAAAGTCAAAGCTTAAACTTAACAACATCATTTACGATACAGTATGCAGTCATGTTTCAAATATAACCAGTACCATTTCTCAAGGAATATTAATTCAACTCCATACTGAAGAGAAAACTGTGAAAACATTGCTGAAAAAACTCACCTAGATCATCGGCAGGTACTTCTATGACCCTGTACGGAATTTGAATGGCATCGAACAGCTCTTTCTGAATGGAGACAAACTCATCGAATAAAAGCTCCCCTGTGATTGAATCCTTTGCAACACCCACCATCTCTACCTGTGAAACAAATGTTGAGAGTTCTACCTTTAAAAGCAAATTTTGAGAATCTGGGACACAATTCGTCCCAGATTCATTTCGGAAGTTTGTGAGAGTTGTTTGGGAAGATTCGTGCCAATTAATTTAGGCGGGGCGAAATGTGTGAGGTAAAAATATGTATCGACCTTAAGAACCCTATGATAAAACGAGTGAGACACGACAATTTAAAGAATTCAATGAATCAAACCATTCTGAACTTTCTCGAGCAATATCTACTACAACAAGGCTGATTCGAGAAATCAAGTCAATTCTTTATTAAAATACACTTTTCACTGCACTTTAAATACTTTAATTTGGAGTGCAATTGTCCTGATTTAACTATTAGAGTCAAGCAGTAATCTTTAAGAGATAAGCTCAAAAAATTGCTCAATTTCAAAGTCTTAATTGAGTCAGCGACACTTAAAAGTTGAACTAAAGCTCTTGGTTATCAATGACCTCGCCTAGTTCCAACAATTTCATTTACAAACCTTGTTGAACTGTGGGACCCTGAAGATGCCTCTAGAGTGCCTGCCCATCGTCAGTTCCGCCCGGAAGCAGGGCGAAGTGGCCGTCAATCTCAGAGGAAGAGAGGCAGGTTGTATACTTGCCCGCATCAAATATCCCACCAGAGAGTGTTCCGAGGTTCCTGGTCAGTGATGAGCACATTAATATCACTTACTCAACAAAGGTGAAAGAAATAATTTGGAAGCGTTTGCGAAAGCAAAATACCAAAACCATGTATTTTATGAGCAACAAGAAAAAAATAGCATCGCTTTACCTCTAAAATGAGGGTATACAACAGATCTCTCCACTCGCGCCATATCAAGCGAGGGTGGTAAACTCGGAATTTAATGAGCAAAAAAGCGGCTAAAAATGATTACAATTTAACCCTGAAAAAAAAGTCAAACGGTCTGAAAAATTAACAACGATAGCCGGTTACTGAGCAAGTAGCACCGAATGTTTTAGTGTAGTTTTTCTGCTTGGTGTGATAAAAGGATCTGAACGAAAAACTAAAACTTAGGCATATTTGAGTGATATTAAAACAGGCCAATTGAAAAAAAAAACAGTTTTTGTAGAAAAATATTTAGAAAAACCAGAAAAAAAAATTGTTAAAAAAATTTTTAAATAATTTAAAATTATTTTTTCGAAATTTTTCAAACTTTGTGATACATAATAGGGCGCTAAATTTTCAAGGCTTAAATTAAGCATAAATAAGCTAATGTAAGCCTGCTCACTCGCACGAAAATAGACGAAAAATCAAAAAATCAAACCGGTTTTTCTCAACACTAGGAATCTTTTAGAATATTTTTTGGGTCGTTCAAATCACTACTGAAAGGGCTTTCATATGATATATCATTCAACCCAGTCTGAATCTGATAGAAACTGATTAGTGGAATCTGACTATGCGTGGAAAACAAAAAAACATAAAAAAACTAAAACACACCTGCATACAAAGTTCCTCCCCATTTTCAATGGTCGGAACAATAATTTTGCATTATCTATCCGTTGGCCAAATATAAGCGTTTTCTACCCATCCACACATATCCACTACCCGAACCATTAAAATTCGGCCTAAAAACAATTTATTTGATAGAAGCTCATCCAAGAAAATTACAAAAAAAAGCCGGAAACTTTGCGCAAAAAAAAGCAAAACAACGTATCATAACTCCGTTTTTTCATAAAACTGTTTAATGAACATGACAAGAACTTTGCAATCCGGTCTTTTTTAAAAAAATTCTTCTACGCAAAATAAGATGTGCTCGAGTAAAAAAAATCTGAAATAGGCTCTTTCGTTCATAATTTTTAACGACAATTCAGACGGTGGTTAACTTATGGCTTGAATTTCAAGTCATTCACCAGCTACAGGCAAAATTACAAACCCATAACGACTTTAAGGGTCACTGAACAGGATTTGAGCCCAACGATCCTGAGTGATCCAAAGAGAGCAAAAACTATGAGGAAATTAGTATGCTAAATACAAATTGAAAAAAATTATTGCGTAGGTACATTTGTGAGAAACGTTTTATTAGAAAAAAAATATGAAGCTCTTATCACTCATTTCTAGCAAACCATCTCGACATAAATTATTTGAAATTTACCGATTATAAGCTATAATCAGCTGAAGTTTCCTTGATTTTCATTTTTCGAAATTCTGAAGGCAAATTTTTGCGATGAATTTGACGTGTTATGAGGTTGTTCTAATTTAAGAACCTTAATTTGAGAGCAACCTCGAAGCTCTTTAAACTGTACTTTAAACAGTTCGCACAAAAAAAACACGGTTCACATTTAATGTTTTTGTATAAAACTGATACGAGCGTCTGAGCGCCATTTAAAAAGATTGCTCTTATGATTCTTGTCTTTAATTTTCAAAAATTCATTCAAATACGACTTAGATATATCAAATCAAAACAACAATATTCCAAAATTTAATAAACTGGCAAAATGCATTATACAATTTATGTTGATTAAAGAAGAGTTAAGCAAATATTTTTAGAAAAATGGTTAAGCTATCTGCAAAATGCGCTATATTTTTATCAATGTAATAAAAAGCAGATGGTCCAGCAGTGGACCTTATGTACAACATGCTCAATTGTTGAAGACTTTATGCAATGCGCAATGAGCTATAATAGGAGGCCAACCGAAAATATTGGTAACATTGATAGCGTCCAAAAAATTACACGTTGCATCTTCTTTGATTTCGCTGAGTAAATTTTAAAAATCAACTAGGACAAACTGTTCACTTTTTAGAAGCTGATACAAAAACGGATATCAAAACCTGAAATTGTTGATTTTAAAACTGGAAAACTTGATTTGCATGGCAATTCAATTTAATCAGTAAAGCTGCTTTTAAATGATCATCACTGTGCCTGCCAGACAAATCGGGTCATTCATATAGTTGAAATCGTCGCTCAAAGTGTACACAGGACTTCTCTCGCCGCTGACAATTTGACCACATCCCTCAATAATTTTTGGTGTCAACAATAAAGGTACAGTCATGGGAATGAAGGATCCTTTGTTAGTCAGGAAGTCTTCTGTGAATCGTATCAAGGCTCGCTCCAGGTAGCATCCCGCGCCTGTCAGAAAGAAACCTAAACAAGGCACTTAAGGAAATTTTTAAAACTTCGCCTGCGGAGCAGAAAGTTTTAGCATATCGTTTTTCTAAGTCCCCCCCAACCATCACCGAGAAATTCCTATATCCGCTCTGATTATAACTATGCTTCTAGGGTTTAAATTCGTCACATCCATTTGAGCCATGCAGTTAATTAGCCTGGCAGCACACTTTATTTCAAAATATCACTAGTCATGATCGGCGTTAGACTTCTGGCGGACATATGGTACCAAGAAACAAAGTGAAGTGCCACCCCTATACAGGAATAATTCAATGGTTAAGCATACCATATTCAATTGCTAAGTGAATTTTGTACTTAGTGACGAATCTCTTCCCCCTTTGCAAAGGTGGGAGTAGTTAAAGTGATCCCTCCTGGCTACTCAACTATATAGTCTCAAAGTTCAATAAAAAAGCCACTAACCTTTGCTATTAGTGACATATCCACTCGTGGGTTGTCTCAGAATATTCAGATATCCCGCCAGATTATCATGCTCCTTCAATTTTTGTACATTTTCAACTGCAAACAGGTGATATGATACTGTACAGCGGAGGAACAGTTAGTCACTACTTTCGAGAAAAAAAACTGTATAGCTAGCTATAGTAACTTCCCGCCATGCAATGGAATGAGCGTCTAATTCGGTCGTTTTTCGCAGCAAAACTCAGTAAAAACATCAAAAAAGCCGAACAGTCTTGAGTGAAATAACATTAACGCCCAGTCAGTCATGCGTAATTCGATCTGCAATAAAATAATCCAAAAAAATGTGATCTATAGAAAAAACAAAACGGTCTTGACCATTTTTCTTTTCACACATTTCTCGGCTTAATGGCGACTGATCAGCCCTATTTCTCTTGATTATTTAAGTACAAAAACGACAATAAAAACACTTTTGCCTTCTTTGTGCATTGGCAATTTCCTGAGTTTAACATAGCAGTGGATGATTTAAGCAATCTAGCGCTGTAATTTAACTGCTGGTAGATACATATCAAAAAATAGGAAATTTTTAATATGCAGTCGACTTCTAAATCTTAAACCTAATCCAGCTCTTGTATGATATCACCAGGAAGTCCTTCAACTTTTCGAGTCTCCAACACTTTCAATCCCGAATCCTGAGTTGTATCGTGGTCTAGTAAGTTTGGCACAGAAGCCACAATTTCATGAATCTCCTTTTCTAGACTCACAACCTTATCTTTATAAATCCTAGCCAGAAGCTTCAATTTTTCCAATTCATCATCAGCGACCGATAATCTTTTTCTATCTATATCGTCTAGTTTCAAAATGACTTCAGTTTCTTTCGAGTTCCATAGTCGCAAATCGTTATAGAGTAACTTCAGTTGATCAATGTCAATATTGTCAATTTTTCGGGCTTTGATGCTTCGTTTAAACAGGTCTAAATTTTCAACTATGAACCTAACATCAATAGCCGTTTTATACAGTGGTTTATTTTGTTCATGCGTAAAAAGATAAGTCTCTCCTGAAATTTTTCGTTGAAATGATAAACTTCTCAAGGTTGTGACGCAATTGCTGCAATTCAATAGTGGCCTTGTTCGACTAATACCAATAAGGCAGATTGCACACACATTGATCATTTAATCTAAAAGCAGACCAACATAACCTGCTGACCCAAAAAAAAAATTTCAATTACTTTTTTCCGCTGAGGGAAAAAACCAGACCGACATTTCCAATCATGTTAATTAAGAGTAAATTGTATCACGCATAGACACACTCGATCGACTAATCAATGCTGAAAGTTACAGGACATATTAGTATCATCTAATTAACTGCCAAAATTAAATGCCAAATTAACTTTCCTGCCTTTCCTGACATTTGAGTCTGTAAAGAATATTTCTGGCGAGCGCAGTTTTGCTAACTATAATGTTAATTCAAGGACACCTTGATATGTCTTTTATCACGCTAAATTATATTTACAAAAATAAACCAAAAATTTCAAAAAAAACACCAACAGTGCCGAAGCGGAATATCATAACAAAAAAATACTAAAACGATAAATTTGCAAGCTGAACTTTTCCGTTTTCAATTTAGTATTAAGCTTATAAATTCAACAATTCATCAAATTATTTCAACCGGCTGATTAAAAAAAAACATTCGAAAGTGGCAAAAAAACCTGAACAATGCTAAAATCCAAAGTCAATTAGCAAAATCAATCTTTCAGTGCTGGAAAAGTCACAGACGCGAAGCAGAGCTTCGCACCACTTGCCATACTACACGAACAAAAAAAAACGTAAGTCGAAAAAATTTAAACAGAGGCCAAACGTAGTGAGTCGAAAAAAAAACATGTTGAAAAAAAACCTAATGAATCAAAAGGATCACATACTCAATACAAAAAACTAGGGGCCCAGTAAAACTTGGGCGTAGCTGCTTGACAAATTGGGAATTTGTTATGATTATGCTGGATGAAATGGGTAATTTCAACAATTTGACTTTGCCCGAAACCTTAGTTGCTTCTCTACTAAAATAAGTGAGAAGAGTGAAAACTTAACAGAAATTGCTATCTTCCCAAATACATAAAATTTTCCTCACAAAAAAATAAGGAGTCGCCGCTTCTGTAGTAAAATTTCTCGCAACTGGTTCTTTCGATTGAACCCTTCATCAAGTTTGATAGGATAGTTTCTATGAAAATCAAAAAGATTCTAGAAAAAAATGATAAGTTCAAAAACTTGACTTTCCGAAATCTGTCACGTTTTCTAGAATGAAAAGGTCGAGGCTGCTTAAACATTAAATATAACCAAAACTGGGTTATCCGATTGAACCTGAGAACTTAACCTGATAATTGGCAGGGTAGTTTTCAAGAAATCAAAAAATTTCCAAAAAATGATCAAAAAATTTCCAAAAAATGGTCAAAAAATCAGAAACTTGACTGTTCTGCGAATCAAACCTTTTTGTGTAAAAATATTTGAGCGTAGCCGCTCGAGCGACAAAGGTTTACACAACCTGTTAGTTGAGTTGGACGCAAAAACTAAGATTTGAGTTTCGTTTTGAAAAAGTCAAATAGTTTCAAAACACGGTACAAAAACCAATTATGACTTTTCCGAGAGCCATAAATTTTAGTAGAAAAAACTTGGATGAGCTGCTATACAGGTGAGCTTCCAATAACCCGTTCTATCCTTTGAAACCAAAATCTCAGATTTGAGGAAGCAATTTTTGAGAAAACGAAAAAAATCAAAAAAATATGGGTCAAACATTCTCCCACAGACTTTTTCGAAGGCTGTAGACAGCAGGGTAAAGCACAATATATGCAGCCACACAGGGGAGTATGCGCTTTTTTATTACAATGCTTTTTTAAAATTTCGTTAGAAAAGTTTTCATGTGAACTAAAATTTATGTTGAAATGTGAAAAAACTTCGAAAGCGTCTCAAAAAAATAAAACCCAATTCCATACACTTTCATAATAACTGATTTTGCCAAACAAGAACTTTTCGCCGTCAAAATTACAAAACTTAAGTTGACTAAGCCGATGCAACATCAGCCGAAACCATTTAGTCGAAAAAAATGGACAAATTACAGAACTTTCAATTATACTAAAAAAATCCAATCAAAACAAAATCCATGCTTTACAAGTTAGGTTGATGAAAATCAGAACCAGATAATTAAGAAAATATTTTAAAAAGAACGGAAAATGAACCGACGGAAACTTGGCCGAAAACCACAAATCCGAAAAAATCAATTCAGTGAAAAAGTGCAGTACCAGGTAGCAATACCCTTGTTTATCGCAAGGGTAAAAATGTTGACAAAAATTTAATTAAACAAAACTTTCCTAAGTCTCGATAAAAATGAACTAAAGTCCGAGCTAAAGCTGGAGGTACGTGCTTGATAATTTATGATTTTGTTATACTGGTGCGAGATGAAATGGGTAATTTCGAAAATTGGAAAAAAAATAAAAAAATGAACGTTTTTAAGCTATTGGAACTTTCCCAAGAAAAAACATTTTTCTTGAAGAAAAAATTTAGGAGTCTCCGCTTCGATTAAACCCTTCATAGCAGATTTGATAGGGTAGTTTTTAAGAAAAATCAAAAAGTTTCTTAAAAAAAACAGCCAAAAATTCAAAAACTTGCCTCTCCGAATTCCGCAACTTGTTTCTGCAAAAATAAGGTCGAGGTCGCTCAAGCAGAGAAGATATCATAACTGAATTTCTCGATTGAACACTTTATCTGAGAACTGGCACTGCAGTTATCAAGAAAAATCAAACAGTTTCCAAACAACTGTCACAGTTTCGAAACTTTGACTTTTATGAAGGCCACAAATTCTTTCTTATAGAACGTTAAAAAATTGGGCGCAGTCAATTACAAAGTTGGGTTTTGAACAGTCAGTAGTCTCGATTAAACCATTGGTATCAGATTGAGCAGGGTAATTATTGAGAAAAGTCAAAAATGTCCAAAACATGGTCAACAAATCAAAAAGTGACTTTTCCGAGAATCAAAGCTTTTGAACAAAAAATTTGGACGTAGCCGCTAATTCAGAGCAGCTTCTCATTATCTGTTTTCTTCATTGACCCTAACTCTCAGCAAGGGGAGGGTAGGTCGCCGATGCACGGAAAATTTACACCACCCGATTATCCATTGAACCCAATTTCAAGTTTTGGAGGGCAGTTTTGGAAAAAAAAGAAGAGAAAAATAGTTGAAAACAACATTTGACTATTCCGAGGGCCATAAGTTTTTGTGTGAAAAAAAAATTACGCGTAGCCGCCTATGCGAGAGAACTTTTCACAACCCATTCTATTGATTAAAACCAAATTTGTGAGAATAATTTTTGAGAAAACGAAAAAAAAATTCAAACAATGGCAAAATATCACTCCAGAGACTTTTTCGAAGGTTGTAGACAGTGTGAAAAGAGAGTAAAAGATTAAGCAGGCACTTAGGGGATAAGGCGGCCTTTCTATCGATAGCCTTTTTTTGAAAATCGGGAGAGCAGTCTCTAAGAAAAAATATAACTTTTGTTAAGAAAAAAGAAAACATTTCTTAAGCGTCTCAAAAAACTCATCTCATCCCGTACGATTTCATAATACCTGTTTTTATCGAAAGCAAGATTTTAGAAACTTAAATAAGCAACGGAGCAAAACTTAAAACTTGAAAAGTGGAAATAAAGCAAATAATAGCAGATACTAGTTGAGACGGAAAACAAATTACTTTACATTTTTTAAATTTAAAGTCCCCTATGAAACTAAAAAAAACCAACACTTACATTTACCATGAAAATTGCTTACAGTACAAGAAAAATCCGTCATGTGGCACCTCAGTCGACAAAACTTAAGCAGACAAACGAAAGTTCAACCATTCAAGTTTTACGGGAGTAGCGAATATTTGCCGGGACTCGAACCCTAGAACTTAGGGTTCAAAAGCGACCGCGTTACCTTCAGGCCCAGTGGAAAGGAAACAATAAAATGTTAAGATTCAATAAAAAAAGGAACAGTAGGAACAATTGTTAACGGGAGAAATGTCTAGTTCCTAAATTACAAGACACTTGCTCTCGTAAGTGTAGAAAAACCAATGAAATAATTCACACGGATACAAATGTTTCACAGTGGCGTGCGCAGAAAACTTTCTAAGAGAACAATTTTTCGAACAATTTTGGCGGTTTTTCTAAAAACTTTGAAAGTTTTGCCGACCTTTTTGTTTTTTTTTTAGGTCGACCACTTCATTTTCGGAGTTCTCCAAAAATAATATATGGACCCTATAAAATTTGTGTACTGCAGGCAAACTTTTCAAAAAACAGGCCAAAAAAGGCGTTTTTAGGCACTTATTGGAAAATTTGACCGAACCCATATTGAAAATAAGCCCATGACCTTTTCCCGTGATGTATATATTTTTTTCTGATTTCATTTCTTAGGATTAGCTATATGCATCATTAAAAACACTGATTTTTTGACTCCATAAATTAATTGATCGGCTAAGAACAATAAGTAGAAGGATAATGACTGGGATTGGGCACACTGTATGTACATGGGTAAGTTTCTTGGGGTAGGATAGTTTGAAAGCGAAAGATTTTTAGAGTTAGAGGACCCTTTAAATAACAGTAGCATACAAAAGCAAATCAGTCACCGATATATTGCAAACGAACTCCATACATTGTCGCTTTTTCTTTTCCGACAAAACTGAGCGCTTGAAAAAGCGGGTCGCATCCGCACCTGGGTTTTTCTATGTTGTTTAACGAAAAAATACTCCTTCAAAGGATTTTCCTTAAAGGATTTAGTGTTTGAATGTTTAAAAATTCCAGAATACTTCAAGGATTATTGACCACTGATTATTAAAAAAAGGTCACCACTGCGTCGAACGGTTAAAGGCAGAACAAATTTCCAACTGATCTGTTTCAAAACTCAATTCATTTGTAAAGTGGTATTGTTGAGACTTTAGGATTAATCAGATTTATGAAGCCTAAAAACACTACCGAACACTAGAACACCTGCAACTAAAAAACTTGATAAACACCTAATAAATACTCATAACCAATTAAGAAAAACTAGGATGCAGAACATGAAAACGGGGCCTACGAAACTAGACCAAAAGCAAATTAGACGACCGTCAAAGAACTGAATTTAGACGATAAGCACTTTAGACGACAAAAAGAGTATACTAT